TCAAGGCTCCACAGGAACCCATCATCCTGAGACCAATTATGTCACCACAATAGTGGCTAAATTTTTGTAACAGCCCAGTAGAAATTCCACAGGACTAGAAAACTTTTGACTACTAGGGCCCTGTCTTTTAAGCTGTTGTGTGTTATATTTGTAAATAAAAAATTTGAAATATAAACTTAAATGTTAAGAAAGGTGCATTGAGATAGTCTTGTTATTTGCTAAAATTATTTTTTTTGGTTACAAAATAAACTTGTGAAAAGGTTTACTTGATGATGGTTTGTGTGCCATTAGTTTGAGTTATCTTAATTTTTGCTGAAAGTTATTTTAATGTGACAGCCTAAAATTAGTTTGGTTCTGTTGTTTTTGAAGGTGACAGATTATCAGGTAATGCTTCTTCTAATGTTTCAAAATTCACATTAGAGGAAAATGTTCAATACTTAGATTTCTTTTTAATGTGTTTTGCTTCTATCCATAACACAAATTGACCAATGTATCATGTCTGATGATGATATTTCACAGGCAGTGTCTGCTTGGGTTAAAGGAGTTAACCTATAAGCCTAACTTAACTACAAAACTTTTTAACAGAAACTCTGAAACAACTGTAGATCTAATACACTAATAATGTTTATACAAAAATTTCTTTGATTGACAACAAATCTGACTACTTTACTGATTAGTTAACAGTACTGATGCTCAGTAATCTGAAAACTTTTACTCAATCAATAATGAAATTAATCTTTCCTTGGCCATCAACTACACAATCATCTATTCTTGTATTTATACTGAACTCCCACTTCTACCAAGAATTACTTTTATAAACTTTCTAGACCTAGCATCATCATTTTCATGATTAGCAGCTCCCTATAGAAAAAATAACTAAATTATAACATTGAAAGTATAAGTTACAGCACTGCTCCCTTCCTGTATTGTAAAGTCCTTTGAACAATCCTAATACACAAGTAAAACAGTACACTGAAATGTCTATTCACCAAGTCTATTTGGCAGTTGTCTCTTCCAAGGCTTATTGTATACACATGAGGTGTCCTCTCATCCCTTACTGGGAGTTCTCCTTGGCTAGGTGGTCAAGCAAATCCATGGGTCTATATTTGGTGATCCTCTGGAAGTGAAATAGACAGAAATCATGGGCTCTCCAGTAGGTTGAATTCCCATTGTCAAATTCTTCTCTTGAGTTACCCAGTTGGCTGTTCTCTCACCAAAGATTGTCATGATAGATAACCTTTGACTTGTACTGCCTGTCCTTTTGAATTCTGTAAACCATATCATTTAATTTTTTTTTTTAAGTACAATGCATGGCCCTTCCCAACAACTACTTAACTTAGTAGTTCACTTTTTCTTGAAACAAGAATTTTTCAACCACACCTTGTCATCTCAATGAAATTTAATCTGATCAGCTTTAACATCATAGTGACTTTTTATTTTATCATAAGCTGGTTTAAATCTTTCCCAAGTAGTCATGTACAACATCTTTACTCTTAAGATTCACAAGAGCTCTTCCAACTATCAATCCTTCAGGATGTGCCAGAATGTTTTATTCTACAATGCCTCGATTACTAGGTGAAGATGTATTCCTAATAACTCCTGGTATGAGTATTTCACTTCTTGGTGGTACAATGACCACCCTCCATATTGTCGCTGGAAGTTCAAGCCCTGGTGTCATAGTTGCCATGTAGTGCACAGACTGAGAAGCTAATTGAAGATAGCCAATATGAACTCTTCTTTGATGTCAACTACCCACACATCATGAGATTTAGAGAAGCTTCTTACAGCAAGAATAACTTACAACTTTCCTCTACTGAAAGTTTATTTCTGCTCATGTTAACATCAATCTCTCTTCCTTCTTCTTCTCAAGAAGCAATTTCCCATTTTACATAACCAAATTGGGTCAAGCGATTGTAGCTATAGAACCAGTGTCAATCAACACACTGCAAGGTTTTTCCATCAAAAAGCCCATGGTCAGTTTTCCTCAAATAATGAACTTATCTCATTTGAGGCAGATGGAGTATTCTCAGTTGAACATTCCTATTTTCTTCAAATCTGTTTAGCTCTTTGTTGTTCCTTTGATCACGTTAGACTCCATCTACTCAGCTTAATAAAAAGTGTTGATTCTTAGTCTCAGCTGTAATAGTCTTGTTTCCAACATCTATAACAGTTCTCCTTTTTGACATCCTTTAAAAAGTTTTTATTCCATACATACCTTTGTAATCAGTTTCTGATCATATGTCCTGTTGTCTTGTAGTTTATATCGTCAACTTTATGAAACTAGTTGTCTAACTAATCTTTTCAGTTCTTCAATACTATCATTATGGGGAGTTCATGTTTCAATACTGTTACGCCTTTGTGTTCGTTTGTTAATTTTCCGTAAAAATTCTTTCCGAAGAAACTTTAGCAATACAAGTCCTTTCTTAAATAAAACTAATTTATTCTTTCTCAATACAACTTTGCAATACACTTA